CTCAGAGCCCCCTCAGGCCAAGCAGGGTGTCATGTCCCCGGCTCCGAGTTCCGCTGGTCACCGTGGAGGATCATACGAGCTGCTGACTCGCAGAAGGCCGTTGCCCGGACCCCAGCCTCACCTGCTCATGAAGGTTGAACCCCAATCCTGGCAGACAGGTGGACCTGGACGGGTCTGGGCGGATAGTGGAAACAATTTTTAAAAACATGTTATGTATAAAAAAATAAATTATTTTTTTTATCATCCATTCATCCATTATCTTCCCCTTGTTCCGAAGTCGAGTCGCGGGAGCAGCAGCTTGAGCAAGGAGGTCCAGATATCTCTTTCCACAGCCCCCTCTTCCACCTCTTCTGAGAGGATTCCAAGATGTTCCCAGGCCAACCGAGAGACATAGTCTCTCCAGCGTGTCCTGGGTCTTTCCCGGGGTCTCCTCCCAATCAGACATGCCCGGTGCACCTCTCTAGGGAGGCGTCTAGGGGGCATACTTACCAGATGACCGAACCACCTCAACTGGCTCCTCTTGATGTGAAGGAGCAGCGGTTTTACTCAGTCTCTCCTGGATAACCAAACTTCTCACCCTATCTCTAAGGGAGAGTCCAGCTACCCTGCGGAGGAAACTCATTTCAACCGCCTGTATCCGTGATCTCATTATTTTGGTCACTACCCAGAGCTCGTGACCATAGGTGAGGGTAGGAACATAGACCGACCGGTAAACAGAGAGTTTTGCCTTACAGCTCAGCTCTCTCTTCACCACCGTGGACCAAGTCCGCAATACTGCAGATGCTGCACCAATCCGTCTGTCAATATCACGCTCCATTCTTCCCTCACTCGTGAACAAAACCCCAAGATACTTGCACTCCTCCACTTGAGGCAGAAACTCACCCTCGATCCAGAGAGAGTAATCCACCCTTTTCCGGTTGAGGACCATGGCTTCAGATTTGGAGGTGCTGATTCTCATCCCAGCTGCTTCACACTCGGCTGTGAACTGCTCCAGTGAGAGCTGAAGATCACGGCATGATGATGCCAACAGGACCACATCATCTGTAAAGAGTAGAAATTAATCCTGAGGCCACCAAAACGAAAATACTCCGCCCACTGACTGCACCGAAAAATTCTTTCCATAAAAGTTATGAACAGAATTGATGACAAAGGGCAGCCCTGGCGGAGTCCAACTCCCACCCTGAAGGGGTCCGACTTACTGCCGGCAATGCGAACCAAGCTCTCGCACCGCTTGTATAGGGACTGAACAGCCTGTAACAACGGGCCCCCAATCCCATACTCACGGAGCACCCCCCTCAATGTACCCCAAGGAACATGGTTAAATGCCTTCTCCAAATCCACAAAACACATGTAGACAGGATGGGTACACTTCCAAGACCCCTCAGGGACCCTAGTGAGGGTAAAGAGCTGATCCAGTGTTCCACGGCCAGGACGGAACCCACATTGTTCCTCCTGGATCTGTGGTTCGACAAACGATCTGACTCGCTTCTCCAGTACCCCTGAATAGACCTTACCAGGGAGGCTAAGGAGAGTGATGTCCATATAATTGGAGCACACCCTCCGGTCCACCTTTTTGAAGAGGGGAACCACCACCCCAGTCTGCCAATCTAGTGGCACTGCCCCCAATGTCCACACGACGTTGCAAAGGCATGTCAACTGACAGCCCCACAACATCCAAGGCCTTAAGGAAATCAGGGTGAATCTGTTCCACTCCCAGAGCCCTGCCGCCTCTGAGCTTTTTACCTACCATGGTGACCTCAGCCACAGTTATGGATGGATCAGCCCCAAAGTCCCCCAAATCAGCTTCCTCGATGGAAGACGTGCTGGTGGGATTGAGAAGGTCCGAGAAGTATTGCTTCCACCTAAAAATGACATCACTGGTTGAGCTCAACAGCAGCCCACCCTCACTTTTCATTCATTCAACCTTTATTTAAACAGATAAATCACATTGAACCTCGAAGACTCATTTACAAGTGAGACCTGTTTGGACAGACACAAACAGTGGTTAACTGGACACATGTAGGACTGAATACATTGTTAGTAAAGTGCTGCTTTCCCCTCCTCAGCCGCCTGATGGTTTGCCAGAATCTCCTCGGAGCCGACCGAGAGTCGTTATCCAAGGTCTCACCAAACTCCTCCCACATCCGAGCATTTGCCTCTGAAACAGCCATGGCTGCACACCGCTTAGCCCTCCGGTACTCCTCAGCTGCCTCCAGAGTCCCACTGGCCAACAAGGCCTAATAGGACTCCTTCTTCAGCTTGACAGCCTCCTTAACCCAGGGTGTCCACCACCAAGTTCGTGGATGGCCACTGCGAGTAGCACAGACAACCTTGCGGCCACAGCTCAAGGCAACTACCTCAACAAGTATCCTGGATACCTCAACAAGTGCGGCGTGGAACATGGCCCACTCGGACTCAATGTCCCCCCACCTCAGCTGGGATTCATTCATTCAACCTTTATTTAGACAGGTAAATCCCATTAAGGATGTGGTTAAAGCTCTCCCGGAGATGCGAGTTGAAGATCTCTCTGACGGGTTCTCCTGCCAAGCGTTTCCAGCAAACCCTCACTACACGTTTGGGTCTACCTGGTCTGTCCGGCATCTTCCCCCACCATCTGATCCAACTCACTACCAGGTGGTGATCAGTTGACAGCTAAGCTCCTCTCTTCACTTGAGTGTCCAAAACAAACGGCCGCAAATCAGATGACACGACTATGAAGTCAATCATCGATCTACGACCTAGGGCGTCCTGGTGCCAAGTGCACTTATGGACACCCCTTATGTTCGAACATGGTGTTTGTGATGGACAAACTATGGCTAGCAAAGAAGTCCAACAACAGAACATCGCTCAGGTTCATATCAGAGAGGTTGTTCCTTCCAATCACACCCCTCTAGGTCACACTGTCATTACCCACGTGGACATTGAAGTCCCCCAGCAGAATAAAAGAGTCCCCATCTGGTGCACATTCCAGCTCCCCTGCCAAGGACTCCCAAGAATGCCGGAAACTCTGAACTGACGTTCGGTGCATAGGCACAGACAACAGTCAGAGCCCGTCCCCCCACCCGAAGGCAAAGGGAAGCCACCCTCTCATCTTCCAGGGAAAACTCCAACACACAGGCACCAAGTCGGGGGGGGGTCTACAAGTAGACCCACACCAGCTCGACGTCTCTCACCATGGACAACTCCAGAGTGGAATAAGGTCCAGCCCCTCTCAATGAGATTGGTTCCAGAGTCCATGCTGTGCGTTGAGTTGAGCCCAACTACAGTATATCTAGTCGGTACTTATAAAACCTCACGCACAAGTTCAGGCTCCTTCCCTGCCAGAGAGGTTATGTTCCATGTCCCAAGAGCAGCTTTGGTAAGCCAGGATCAGAGCGCCAAGGTCCCCTCCTTCAGCCACTGCCCATCACGCACCCAACTTTTATGACCCTTCCTGCAGGTGGTGGATCCACAGGAAGGCAAACCCATGCTGCTCCTTTGGGCTGAGCCCGACCGGGCCCCATCGGTAGAGACCCGGTCACCAGGCGCTCACCGACGAGGCCCTCCCCCAGGCCTGGCTGCAGGGTGGGGCCTCGGTAACTCACATACGGGTAAGGGACACTGAGTTCCTTGCTGTGTAATGTGTATAAAAATCTTCTGAATCGCTCTTTGTCTGGCCTGTCACCTAGGACCAATCTGCCTTTGAAAATCCTACCAGGGACAATTATAATTGCCTCCGACCGCAGAGCTCCTAGGATCATTCAGGCACACAAACTCCTCCACCACGATAAGGTTGCGATTCAAAGAGGAGGTTTTTTTTATCAGTGAAGATTTAAAAAAAATAAAAAAATAAACGGTGCCGGCTTCATCATGAAATCCTGTTTTCACTTTAATGACTTTATTAAATAATCTGTTAAAGTTAACTCAGCTGAAAAATCATAAAAAGACAATTATTGGATCTCTCAGGAATATTTCCCTCAAACATGTTTAAAGAAGAGATACAGCCTTTAGTTCGACTTTATTCTAACCCACAGATGAACAAATCACTAAACAAGAAGTTTAAAGCAAAGCTAAAATAAAAAAATATATGTAAACAAGAAACAAAACCACACATCTAAACTGAACAATAAAAGTAGACACAACGAGTGCAAATACATCAAATTATGATGAAAAATATATAATTTTAAATATAGATGTTTTTGTTGAATCTAGTTCATCAGACTTAAAGATGAACTTAAGCTCATTAAAAGTTCATTAGCAGGATTTATGTAAATATATATAAATATATATATATATATGTGTGTATATATATGTGTGTGTATATGTATATATTTATATACATATATATAAATATAGATGAATTTGATCATTTTAATAATCTGTAGTCTTTTTAATTTACCAGAAACTTCAAAGTAAATTCTCACCTGTACTGAAACCTGTCTCAGGGTCTCACCTCCACCAGCTGGTGAGAGGCGTGACCTCACTTTGAACCCTGCCCACTGGAACCAGTACTGAATGCATAAAGGGGCACTAATGGGCACTGTGGAAACGGAAAATGAAGCGGTCTGACCTGTAGCGGCCCAGTACGGGCCGAGCCGAGCAGGACGTGTGGAAATGAGGCGTTAGTTTCGTTGGTTCATCTCAGAGTGCTGGTGACGATTCTCAGTCGTCCAGGACATGATGAAGAACGAAACGTCTTCTGTTACAAATAAAGTCCACTTGTTTTTGTATTGAACGTTTTTTTAATTCATCTCAGAGTGAAACTCATCGTGAGTTGATGTAACATCTGTGTTCAACAAATGTACTCACAATGTTAACATGCTAAAAACATGCTAAATTCTCTGAGCGTACTCTGTCACTGTCAGATCATGAACTCTTAACCCCCCCCCACACACACACACCCACCCCATTGTTACCAGTTTGTGAATTTCTTTTGCAACAAATGTTTTGTTCTGAACAACAGGAAGTGAAGCAGTTGTGTCTCTACTGTCAGACTGAAGTGTTTCTCTGTTTCCTTCAAGTCACGTGCACGCCGGAGCCGGCTGGACGGGTGTGGGCGCCGTCAGCAACGGAGGCCTAGTGGAGCCCGGGCCGGGTGTCAACGGGACCTTGCTCACCAACCAGGCAGGCATGAGCTCTACGGGCTACCACACCCACTGATGGCCATCGCCCGAGGCCACGAGGAGCGTCTTCTGCAGGGGAAGGAGCGCACGAGATGTGCTCGCTGCGTCACAAAATGACCCTGTTAGTGAACTGGACCAGCGTGGTCCCCAGCCACTGCCCCACCTGCAAGTCTAATGAAAACGAGTCACCTTTAACACGTTACAGCTACCGCTGATGCACCGTGCATCACTGGGCCCATTGTTACTGTCCGCAAACGTAATTTAACATGAGTCCTGATAGTTCTAGCACCAGAACCGGTCCAAAATGAAACTGGAGCCAAAATTTTCTACAATATTCAAGAACCGTACGGGGCCGCAGGGCAGTCATCTCTTAGTCCATGGTATCGGCACACCGCCACAACACAAAGCTTTTTATCTTCTCTCATGGAGCCTGGCCATCTTACTGTTGTGCCCACTGGTTGCTATGGTAACCTGAGTCCAAGGAGTTCCTCAGAGCATTGTCCAGTAAGTGCGAAACATTACACCAGGAGGTTGAGGGGAGAGTGGGTACAACTGGAGATGTCGACGCCCCGTCATGTGTCAGACTGAACGAATGAACCGTAAGGTGTGTGTGTGTGTGTGCACGTGCGTGTGTGTGCATGAACTGAAGCTTTTCCTCGCCTCCTCCCCTGCCTCCAGAAGGACTTGGCCATTATTCTTTTGTTTTTGCTTCATGACAGAAAAACATGTTTGTTTATTTTTAAAAACGCTGACGTCGTAAAATCAGCTTTTGCCTTTTGTTGATTTCAGCTGTGAGGAAAAAACCGATCCATCAAATCGCGATGTTCGCTCGCCAACCGTTGTTTTTTAAATGAGTATAAACGATGGCAGGGATCTTTTCTTCCAGGCAGACAGATGTTGCACAGATTCATGCTCGTCATTTCACTCAGTCTGAAATTCTAGATTTTGTTTTTGCATTCCACTCTGTGATTTGGTGTAAATAGCTGAAACGTTGTGTTGCTCTGAATCTGTATAAAGACGTTCATTAAGAAAGACGAGTTTCTCCTGGTGCTTTGAAGCAGAGGAGGACGAGCACCAGCCTTCATCATTTCTTCTGTTTTAATCAAACTGCTTGTTAGTCGTGTTGCCTTAGCAGGAGTTCAAAACTCCCCGGAGAGTGGGCGGAGCCTGTGATCCTTCAGCCTACAGTTCAACACAAGCTCTCTGTGTGTTTGTTACAGCCCACACTGATCCTGTCCGCAACGTGGGGGGGCTGTCAACCAAATGAGTTCAAAGGTTATGAGTCAACCTGGAGGACAGTGGTTGTAGAAGCTCTCGTTCTCTGGACATTTTTATTTTAGTGTCTTAATCTGGAGTTTAAATGCATTTTATTTTTTAAAAATGTTCAGAGTAATGAAGATGTTTGGGTGGGGGGGGGGTGTAAACTTGCTTTAATCAATTAAAAATGTAAAAAACTAACAGCCATTATCCTCAGAACTCCTTTCTCCATTGAATCTTTTTTAACCAACAAATTATTCGAGCCATTTATAACAACTTCCAAATGAGGCATCATGAAGACCAAGAACTCCACGCAGCTCAGACACGTGTGGGGAACTCCACATCAAGGATGGAGTGTTAGTAAAACATGCCATGAAGATCCACGAGTCCATGATTAGATGAAAGATGATGCCAGCTCAGATACCCGCAGGGAGAGGAACGTCCAGGAGACTGAAGACCACGTTGATGGAGCCGAGCACAGAAGCTGATCTTCTGGACCTCCACGAATCAGCTTTGATGAACTCCAGCTGCAGCAGTTCATCACAAACAGCAGTCAGATGAAGCTAGCACCACCATTCAGTACAGATCTACAACCGTTAATTTTGAGTTATAAATCCACCCAGTCTTCTATAAGATATTTTACTGACAGGCACCATGATCATCCCTTTCTCCGACTTTCTCACAGCCAGTTATAAACTAGAAACTGCAGGCAGGAAGTTAAAATGTCTTTCATTTATTTTGACTTTATTATGCGAGTTTATCTTAGCAGCTGTGTACTGAAACAACTTGGGCTGTTGTGCAAAATCCAAGTAAAATTAAAACTTTCAAAATATCTGCAGTTTAATTCATACCAGCAGTTAATTTTAAACAAAACATTTTTTTTAATGTATAATCTTGTTTTACAACCGGAAGAAACCAGCTGATATTACTTGATGGTTTTGAGGCTGAAATTCTCAATATATACACACACACACACATATATAAGTAGACGTATACATAGACATGTATACATAGATCAGAGTCAGGTATTTACTGTCATTCACACCTCGTGGTACATGTGGTGGAACAAAATTATGTTCACAGGGTCCCAGTTGCACCCAACAATAAAATGTAAAAGAAAAACTGTAATAACATCTAAGATATGAACTAAGAACAACATCAATTAAATAAACACTAAGCACTAATAGCATGAAAACATTACGTTGAACAGCAGCACGAACATGAGCATGAGTCTGTGTGAGCAAATGAGCACACATGAACACATCAACATGAAACAGATCAGCAGCAACATTGAAACAGATCAGCAGCAACATGATGTGATTTTTCACAGTGATTATTCTGGTTAGAGATTCATGAGTCTAACAGCCTCAGGGTAGAAGCTGTTCCTCAGTCTAGTGGTTCTACACTTAATGCTCCTCAACCTCCTTCCTGAGGGGAGTGGGGCAAAAAGTGTGTGTGCTGAGTGAGTGTGGTCCTTCATGATGCAGGTGGCCCTCTTCCTGCATCTGGAGGTGTAGATGTCTGTGATGGTGGGGAGGCTGACTCCAACATCTATGCAGCTGCACCGGTGCCCCCCCCATGACACAAAATGGAAGAATCCTGTAAAAGATAATGGATGGATGGATATTCAAGGATTTTTATTGTCATACCAGCTTACATTTGTATATTTATGGTACGAAATTCAGACAGATCCCATATCAAGAAGCCTAACAACAATTACATAAATTCATTCATTCAACCTTTATTTATAGAGGTTAATCCTATTCAGCCTCGGGAACTCATTAACAAAAGGGACCTGATTTAACAAGTTATGACAACAGTGGACAATCATGAAGTATGTGTGCAGATTGAGGTTTTTTTTTTTTTAACAAATGAAAATAAAATGATGTTTAAAAGAAAATGTAACCAAAAAACAGCTAGACTATAAGGCCATGTAGAAAAGTAAAAAACAGGAGCATCTGCATGAACTTAACAGATGTTTGAAGCCACTTAGAGAGGTCAAAGGTCGAGAGCTTCAGATCTTTTTACAAGATATTCCAGGAAACAGGAGCGGAGTAG